CTTTAAAGCATTGAGAACCCCTAACACTAAACTGTTTGGGGAAAAAAGGAGCTCCCAACACACCTCGTCTTCGACGTGTCCCACATGCCCAAACCCGCCCCATGGTCGTCCAACTGTCTCAGTCGCAACGAACGCGCCTGGCTCGGCCAGGTCGACCCCGGCGATGGGCCGCTCCCGGTCTTCGAACCAGGGCGCGCCGATGGCGCCCTTGCAACGCAAGGAGATGAGGTCCTCTGACGTGGGCATCGGGGCTGGAGTCGGCCAACCGACGTGGGGGAGCCAAGACTGACAAGATGCTTAAAAGTTGCAGAACATCTGAAAATGGAAATGAAGAAATGACTTCTCAGACTCAGTCACTCCCAAACTTCTGTGTCAACTTTCGCACCCGAACAAAATCCCCGGAGATCCGGCAAGCAAGCCTGCCTCCTTAAAGACACACCCACACAGTAAGTCGCCCTCCTTCCGGCAACTTGCCAACACATCTCGCCTTCACTGTCTCCACTTTGGGATTGCCCAGGGCAAAGGGAGACCTCGATCAGCGGCAGGTGTCGGCCCAATGCTTTCGGTGGGTTTGATCCTCCCAAAGCAATCCTGCACACACGATCCTAAGACCGCCGAGACCCTGGGTTTCTTCCTCCTAAGACAACAAAAGTACAAGCCTCTCCTCATGCCCCATCACGTCCTTTCCCAAAACAGGATGCACCAAACCTCCACCGCCTCCGCACCACCTCACTCCACATCACTCCACCGCCCCAAGCGCCCGGGCCATTGCGAGATCGTGCGCTCCTCGCAGCCGGGCAGCAGCCCCTGGGACAAGCAGGCGCCGCCCACCGCCGTGTGCCCCGTGAGGCGCCGGAACTCGGGCAGCGACACCTGCGGTCCGACGGTCCGCGGGCTGAGCGGGGCGGGTGGCACTGGGAGGGTGGCGGGTAGCAGCGGGAGAGAGGTCAAGCAGAGCACCAACTGGTTTTGGGGATGCCATCTCTATATATATATATAAATGGATGAGACTCCTTGAACCGTTCAAGTTGAAGGTCACATCAGATTGAGTGGTCCTTGCTGAACCTTTTGCCTACCTTTTGGCTTTGCACTTGGCCAAGCCGCAATGCTCAGACACGCAGTCCGCTCACGCCTGTTTCTTCATCTGCGGGGCCTCACAGAATGTGGAGCAACAGTCTGAGGGTTGTCATCTGGGTCTTACCAAATGCAGCTCAAATTTGGCGTTTTAGTCTTAGATCCCTTCTTCTCTGCGGCAGAAGACTTCTGCAATTGTTGCTTTGAGCCACTGTGAATAAGTCAGCAAATTGCAAGGGTTCCAACAAACCATAGCATCAAATCACCTTCTCTTTCACAGCAAAAAAGTAAATGTGTCCGCGTCACCGTGTCATGTCATACGCATCCTCCACACACTACCAGAATTCCATCCATGGGGCCACCAGTGACTGTCAGCCCCAAGTGACTCAACCCCTCCTCTTGCACCCGGGCACCTTCTCCCTTCTCCCGAGCGTCCGGACGTCGATCCGCGGCAACGCCATGGAGTCGTCCGTGCCGCGGCGGATGGGACGTCCGCGCGGCGCGGGTCGGTGGGTCCCGGGTGTTTTGGGGGTGGCCGGGGGGTGCATGCGTCAGTCGTGCATCGCTGCGTGGTGTCGCTGAATGTTTGGTGGACACAAGACTATACACCATGCAATGCCGCAATGCCATCCTCTTGTCGTCCTTGGAGATGTCTCCTTCCCATGGATAAGACTGAGAAGAAAAACACGAGACTATCTATACACAGAATCTTTAACCCCCCGGATCTGGCCCTCTCCAAACAGCCCACAGCCCTCTCCTTCTCACCGTTTCACCGAGCGCCGTTCGGCCGTTCGGCCGGCCGCTTCGCCGGCGTTTGAGCCTTCACTCTGCACCGGACCGGTCGGAGCCTCACTCTGCGTTGACATCCCCGCGATGAAGTCTTTGTGATGAAGACTGGTGAGACTGGTGTGTGGTTTCCCCCCACAGCTTCCACCCCGGGCGTCCATGGTAGACCAGTTCTGCTGACTCCGGGGCCGGCCGACTCGGGCCGACTCCGGCCTGGCACTTCTGCTAACAATGAGAAGTGCCCTTCTAGCCCGAATTAGAGCGCCCAAGTCCAAAAGCCATCCCAGAACCTGTACCTGTCTAAATAGAGCCCCTGAGACCTCTGTGTTGATTGGAAAGCAACGGTTCACTCAGGTCACTCGCCACCAAGTGGCGCTCATCCCTCAACTCTCTGCGCGCCTTGTGAACCGCCGCTCGGCGCGCAGAAGGATCCCAGACGTTGAAAGCACAAAACAGCTACGGACAGTAGCGCTGTACTCAGACGCTCGCAAGTGACCCCAAGTTCGGAGCTTTAGATGGAGCCCCTCTGACATTGAGGGTAATCATTATGCCGACAAAGCAGCACTAGCCGTTCGAGAAGATGATGACCCCGAATTGACCCACCTCCTCTCTTTGGCCAATCAGCATATTGATGCACAAGCAGATCTGCTACCCGCTGTATCCACCTGAATAGATTATACGTCCATCCCCCAACTGGCCCAGACTCATCAGGGGCCCCTCCAAATGGCTAAGACCTACCAAGCTACAAACCAACGCCTCACTGAGTGGGTACTGTATCTGGGGAAGAACCCTATCTAAAGCAGTCTGGGATGTTTTTCGACCACTTCCGCCCCCTCCAGGGTCACTACCATCTAAAAGTGACGTGGGCATCAGTTGGATTGAGTTAGCAATTTCCTTTATGTTGGCCACAGGACTGTCCCTCCCGATCCATCTTCCGGGAATAGGCCGCACAGAAGCATGTCCGATTGACCCAGACAAAATCCAGTTGCTTCCACCCCGGGCGGTGCTTGCGGTGCTTGCGGTGACCAGCGGAAACACTCCATAAGTGCCAACACTTCAAACCAGTCGCCCAAGTTCCGCTCGTGAACCGGCGCGAATGTCCAATTCCTCTATATCCACGTCTCAGGACCCGCGTATGCTGCCCTAACCTTCAAGCACTTCAGACATCTTCAGACACATTGATGATCTCGATGGCGATCCAACCGACCGACCATGAAAAACCGACCATGAAACACCTGCCGCTCCAAGTGCCGATCTTTGATCATGAAACTCCAACGAAGAAATTCCGTTCAAACAAAGATGTGATTTTGGTGATCAAATGCCTCGCTTTGGGAGAGCAAACCAGTGATTTTTCTGGGGTGCCCATTCCTACAGGGCCCTTCTAGATATGCCGTGTGTGTATATAAATTAGTTGCTGCTTTTACTTCGCGAGCTACCGCGTGGTGAATTCACCTCTATAGCTTCTTTCCGCTTTTGTCGGTCAACAACACAACTATCCATGCAGAGAAGGGACGCGTCTCTTAAGCGCCGAAAAAAGGGTGCGCAAGACCCCCCTCTGTCACATCTTGAGGTGTGCCATCCGAACCTCTGAAACCTACCTTTTTCTCGTGCCAAACCTGGTGACCCACCTGCACCCCGCAGTTAGGTGACCCGCTCGGGCGGGCGGCGAACAGCGGGAAGCCCACCGTCTTTCAGGGCTCGTCCTCGATCCGGTGAAAGTGCTCAGCCAGCTCCGCCGAAGGGATGCCCATCTGCCTCTGAGGGCGGATCTTCGAGGTGGACGGGAGGTGGGGTGGAGTGCCGAAAAAACAGACCTGGCCACAAAAACACACCGCATCCTTTTTCTCTGCCAGACCAAGAGGATCCGGACGGAGATGTCTTTGGTGTTCTTCGATCAAGCCTTTTTCCGCCAACCCTGATGCGCCGGCAAATGACCTGTGTGTACAGTAACATTCAAGCCACCATGTTCATGTTCAGGCAGCAAATCTCAATCTCAATCTGCAATTTATAGTCTGCAATCTTAATCATCTCAATCATCTCAATCTTACGTTCGTTCTAGTACGAACCTGCGTTCCACACGGTGCCCCCCAAAAGCCGCCCAGCCCAGCCGCCCGGGCCTGGCTCGGTCCAGAAAGAAGGAGAGCTTCTGCAGGTCCTCAGCGGCCGGTTTTCCCAGAACGGTTCGGAGCTCAAAGTTGGACCCTCAAACATCCCCCGCGCGAATCGAGGTCTAAATCCCAAACACAGAACATGTGTAGAATGTGTGTATTGTGATGGTTTCGGCATCTGGATCGTCCAACAGCGTCCACCGGAGATCGGCCCCCGGTGCTGACTGCCCGTGCGGTCAGCCGCTCCTGCGTCCGACTGATGCGCCGCTTCATCTCCTCCTCCACTCTGGCGCCGGACGTCAGGTGGGGTGTCTTGGATGATATGATGGAGAGAAGCATATTCCCACAATACGTATGGAGCTTTAACGGATTCCTTGGCTGGTCTTATCTAGCCTCATTAATTTTAATGTGTGTGCTTAGTGAATTCCGTCAGTGCACACTCAAATGGACCAGACGGGATAGTATCTAGACAGGGTCCCAGCTCTATTTTCTTGGGATGTGGCACCGCTTGAACGGAGCGACCCAAAAAAGGCTAAGACTAAGATTCTGTCACAAATCTGTGGTTTTTGAGTCCCCAAGTGAGGCATCCCTAAACCTATCCTCCAATACTTCGGCACCCTTGGTGACTTCTGGTTCACTTCTTTTCGGGCGAGTCCAACGCAGACATCTGGCCCTTGCTGTCATACCGGCCGCCCCTGCCATCGGGCCATCGGCGCGGTTCGGGCGGCCGGCCTGGTACTCGGCCAAGCGCTTGCGTGCCGGTTGTAGCGCCACCGAATCGGGGCACAAGGTCTCCACCTGTGCTGGATGCGTCCCGTCCCGGCGTTTTCGGAGGGCACGGGACGGGGGGGACCTCCACACCACTTCACACCCATCAGTTCCCTCAAAACGGTGAGCGGCCATGCGGCCGTATGGCATGCCATGCCTTGTCTTTGTGGATTCTTTCCAAGTCTGAGAAGGCATCCTGTGCTTTTTGGGCGGTGTTCTCCTTCGGTGTTCTCATCCAGTTCCACTCCGACGCCTCTAACCAAAAGCAGTGTTCAACAAAGCAGCAACCACCAACAAATCGACCAACCCAACGGCCACCGCTTCTGCTCCTCCAGTCTCTGCAGCATTGACCCCCAAGCCAAACACCAACCTTCAGCCAACTCCAATCCCAACTCCATCCCACCAACAAACCAAACAAAATGAGACATCCATCTCACCAGACCCAAAAATAGCAGCTGCACCATGCTCTCACCCAACTCGGCCCACACTCTCACCTCCTACCACACTCTTCCCAAACTGGAGATCTTTCACACCGCCACGCCTCCTCGATGACTTGCCTCAGGATCACCTGGCCCCAGCGAAAAGCGGAGAAGAACAGTCTCACACACTCCTCCGCGAAGGAAAAACCGTCTCCGTGCCTCGACGCGAGGGAAGCTTGTGCTGTTACTAATTAATCGAGAGTTGATTGAATCTATGTCCGTATGCCCGTATGCTGACCAAACATGTTGTCTGTTGTTCTTGAATCTTCCACTTCCTTCCAAAAGATTCTGGATTTCTCTAATCTTTTTGCGTGGGTGAAAGAATAGAGTCGTTTGCAAGTCAGCCGAGTCAATTCCACAGCTCTTCCACAGACGGAAACTTCATCTGAAACCATAACCCCTGCCCTCCAAACCGACCGAAACCACCAAACAGTGGTGTCTATTAGCTCTATCGATCCCCACATGATCCCACCTCTCACCGCTTAGTACCTTTAAAGAAAATGGAAAGAACACACCACTCGCCTCACGTGTTTTCCCACCGTGAAGCCCTTCCAACACCGCATCACAACGAGTCTCGCGGGTCTCCGCAGAGGCGAGAGCCGAGCTCGAGCCGCCAAACCCAGGGAGGATCTCCTCCTCTCCGTCTCTCTGCTGGGCTTCCCGAACACCATCTTGCGTCGAGGCCGCCCAGCGGAGCATCTCCTTCTGGCCACTGCGCGCCGCGCCGACTTCGGCTCACCCAAGGAAAGCGCCAAAAAACAGGAACCGACCGCAAAGGGCGGGAGGGAAGAGTGGAAAAGAGACCGGAGGTGTGGTGAGGGTGTGGTATAAGAATGAGTTTTGTTCGGTTTTTCAGTGGAGCTCGCGCCCTTGCGGTTTCGAAAACACTGAAGCTCATGGTTCCCCACCCTGGGACGAAGGGGAGGAAGTGCCCTCGGACCACGCGATTGCGGCGGCTGGGCGTTGCGAATCCATGCACTCTCCATCTCAACAATCCGACCCAGTTGAAACCCATCTTCTGCAAAGGCCAGTTCATGCAAAGAGCTGTGTTTTTCAGGTCAAGTGCCATGGTTCTTGCAAAGAAAGTGCGGCAAAGGGTGACTTGAAAGGTGGAATGAAAAGACTGACCGTCACCAGCCAAAAGGGTCGTTTTGCAGAAAGAAAGACTTGCAAACGATCGGAAAAGAGGAAGACACCGACACTCTTCATCCTGTCACAATCAAGGCAAATGCAGGGGGCATGCAATCCTGCATGTCTACATCTTGAAAGGGAAGCCCCTTCGGCTGGTGGAACAACCCCCTCCGATGCGCGGCGGGGCTCCAAGGGGCGAGGACTCGCTCACAGTCTGGATCGGGGATCTGTGACCGGATCCAGATGTCCTTTGCATAAGTCCACATTCTGGGTGGTTGACCTCCTTGTCAACTCAAACCATATCCTCATCATGACCTAGTTATATAGTCAGGTTGCAAACGGCATGGCAAGCCTCCAAAAGGCCAGCCATTTGGGCACAAACCACCAACCACAGTCCACCCACGGCAAACACCACCCACCTGCGCCCGTTCGGGGCTCTGCCGCTCTTGCTTCGCCAGCTCCGAATAAAGCCGCCTCACCGACGGACAACCGACGTCCCCTCGGCGGCGGGCCTGGTGTGTGCGTTGTTTTCTCGGAGGCCTGAGGACTTCCTGAATGTTCATGATGTAGGGCCTATACCCTCCAAAAGCCTGAGGTCCGTGATCACAGATCGAGCCTGGCGGCGAGGACATCCATTCCCTCGGCCTCTGCCTGCAGGAGTTGCGGTTTGAGGCAAGGTATAGCACAGGTGTTCACTCCACGTTGGCACTCCAAGGCGGCGGCCAAAACTCATAGTTGTTTAATTCTTCATTTGCACCCCCTTTGCAGGTCGCGCCCAAGGAGTTCATATAAACAAAATTGGGCGACCGAAGAAGACCGCTCAGCATCCCGTCCACGGTGGAAGAATCGGCTCGCAGCTTATCAGCACACCTCAACGAAAGTTGGAGCACAAAAGAACTGCCTGTCCTTAATCCGTTCTCACCTCCAAAAACCCACCCCACCATCCACTGAGTCTCAGTCTCCATCCACCACCCATCACCCATTCTCGCCCCCTCACTGGTCGAAAACGGATCGAACGGGACGGTCGAACTCCGCCCAGCTGCTCTTTGGATGGCATCGCGTAGGTTCCGGGAGTCGCCATGCCGCCTGAGGGGACCGGAAACGGGGAAAAAAGGGTGGAGGGAAAGGGTTCCCTCCAATAAGCCTCTTTGGGCCAAAAAAAAGACGATCTGTTTATGTTTGGCGGTTTCATGTGCTTTTGAATCGATTGTTCGGAGGACGGCAGAACCAGGAACTCAAGAGATCTGGTCACCTGGCGTGACATGTGAGCGCAAGGAGACGTGCCGAAACATGTCGGTCCAACAAATGGCAGTGACCAATGTCTTCAGGTTGAACGTCGCTACATGGAACATCACTCTGGACGCACCCATCTTCCATGTGTGTTCTCCACCTCACTAGACGAGTCAACCAAACGACCCTTGGCCCCATGCAGGGTCCACGGGCGTCCACAAACAAAGGTGTGGCTACAGAGGTGTGGCTCGCGGTCTTCTCCCTGCCCTGTGTTCATGAGTTGCTTGATCGTCCATTCACCATGTTCACCATGTTTCCCCCGTGCTCATCACGCTTTTGCTGGCGATCTTCGAGCCGAAACCCATCACCACAGTTTCAGCTGAGTTCCCCGGTCTTTGCTTCATCAATTAAGCGCTCAACCTGATCAAGCAACGGCTTGTTAGCAAAGAAAGAACGAAGGAATTCAAGGAACCTGGCATGACATTCTGACATGACCCTAAATCACAGTTGCTTGAGTCCAAGCAGTTCACCGCTCGGATGAAATCGCCCCTTCCGGGGCCAACAGCCGGCGCCACGTCTCACTCCTCTTCGCTTCGTGCCGGGCGTCGTGAACGCGTCGCGTCGCGTCCCCGGCGCCTCCTTCCGGCGGCCCGTGGCACAGCTTTCGCAGCCGCCCATGGTGACATGGTCTGTGGCGACGTCGGAGGTGGATTATCAGAAAAGGATCTATATACTATATATACTGTATGTAAAATACATGTAAAATATACCTATATCTTCTGCATATTTATACTATCTTATACAATAATGATGGATCTGCACCCCAGATGGACCCCTTCAAGATGTGAAAAGAGGATGACACGTCCTTTTTGGTGGAAAAAGAGGTTGAGACAGGGTGACTGACCCTTGGGTATGTCCCATTCCAACAGTGAATGATTGTCTGTAAAGGGGAAGGTTAGTAATATAATCATCAAGAGTAAACATTTGATGTTTGGTCTGTACCGTACCCCTCACCAAGTCCAGATTCTGGTGCTTGTTCCTTCCTACCCTTCTTTGTTCTCGTCCGATGCTGTGCAGAAAACGCATCCGAAGAACTTGGTCGGTCCACATGGCAATGGTTGGTCCGCGGCACAGGAGACGCAGAGCGTTCATCCATGAGACGCATCACATCGGGCGCTGGTGGACAGGGGCCAGCTTTCTCCAAAAGCTGGAAACACTCAAAAAGAAAGTGGCCTCCGCAAAACTGTTCTGTGAAAACTTTTGCCAGGACTGACTGGGGATTCAATCGGATTGAGGTATCGTTGAAGCATGGTAGTTAACTGTAACAAAACCACCTCCGACACCGTTCCCAGTCGTGCTGTCTTCTTTCAGCACCAGCCGTCGTCAGAAAAGCGGAAAAACCATTTGACGCTCCCATCGTCCCAGCCCACGCCTGCACCACCCACTCTGTCACAACCCGAAACCGCGAGGTTTGAAGCGGCAAAATGGCCGAAGAGCAGCACCAAACGGTCCGAAGCATCCAAACTGTGCTGAGTAAGGACAACCTGGTGGAGCTGAGATGAGCTGAGTGCTGGTAGTGCTGGTTTCGGACTGGAACGAGCCGAAGGCCTGGGCTTCCAGCGAAGCCGTTGGGCCCAAAAATTCGGTAAAATAGACAAATGGTACCCTCAACAATTCTAAAAGATTCTAAAAGACCAGCCTCAGGTTAGGTTGCTGGTTTTTCAGAGGACACTGATCCTGTGCTTCTCTCCACCAACAGTATGTTGGTCTTCCCCAATCACCAGTCCAACTGAAGCCAAAGCCAAACCGGCTTTTGTTGCACAACTTCCGACATGCCCAGTCTGCAACGCAACTCTCTCGGCGCACAGCGAAGAGCTGCAAGTTCTGTGCGGCCGACTGTACATCGGTGGAGTGTTGCATGGAGCTTAGGGAGGGAGGTAAACATGGAAAGAGCCCCCAGTTTGATGCTGCACAACTGCACCAGAGGCCAGGAAACAACCCAAAAAGCACTGCTGAGGCTGAGAATGTTTCACAGAGTTCAGACTTCCTTTTCTACCACAACGCATCAACATGGGGGCCCCCAAAATCAGTGCTCTTCGAGGCTACCGAGCTCGATGAGATCGCTTCAAGTTCGCTATACACGAAGCATGCCATGGCTTCTTCGCCGGAAGCTGATGGGGCCGCGCCCACGCCTTTCTTCGTACGCCGCGCCGCCCTTCACGAGACGTAATGCACGTCCCGTCACGACACCGGCCAAGGTGTCCGGCACCCTCGCGCTTGACCCGACGGGTCGCCGCCGTCGTCGTCCGTTCGAAACGCTCGCCGCGCAGCGCTTCCTCCGCCCACATGGCCGTCGCGCCCCTGCCGCCGTCGTGGCACCGCGCCGTGCGCGCCACGTGCTGGCGGAAGGCCCGGCGCGCCATAGCGCAGCGGTCGGCCAGCGAGGCCAGGTTCTCGTAGGGCGAAGGGCGGTGGCTCTGGTTTCCCGCGCGGCCGCCCGCGTGCAAGTCCAAAACGATGGATCTCAACTGAGACTGCAGGCTTTTGGGCAAGTGGCGCACGTTGGTGATGAGATAAAAGCCACGGATCTCGCGGAAGAAGTGGTGAAAGAGCCCTGGAGCCCCTTCCAAAGAGCCGCCCCAGCCAAAGGCCACGAAGGGCATCGGGAAATGTGCCACGTCCGATTGGGTCAAGGCCATGCCATACTCGGCTCGAACGAAGGGATACATCCATTCGATGCGTTCGTAGGGAATGGATCCATCTACCGTCATCACATAGTGCTGATGGCATCGGTCGTCCAAACGGGCAATGGTCACAAACATGGGGCAGGACATGAGGGGTGGGAGGTTGATATTGAAGTTCTCTGCCATACCTGCAGGTAGGTGAGCAGATTTGTGCGAAGTGGTGGGCTTACAGGTCTGCAATGAATGGAAAAAAAGAGCGGCTCACAAAGCTAGGATTCTTCGGAACATTCCAAGATTCTCACGGAGGCACCACACAAAGCAAAACACCAAAGATAGAAAAAAGAAAAAAGGGAGGAAAACAACGCGATGCCAAAAGGTACCCCCCCTCTTTTGACCACCCTGCCTAGGGCAAACAGCAGCTGCGCACCCAGCAGTGTCAGCATCGGCACCAAGACCCAAACGCCCCAAGGCCCAGTGGCTGCGGTCGTCCAGGCGTTGCTCAGCACCGAAAGGGGCGCATCGGAGCAAAGAAGCCCCACCTGAGGAGGATGGTGAAGGTCGTGCCCCCATCTGGGTGCCCCCCATCCCAAGCCACACGTGGCAGAAAATTCTGCCCCCAAAAATGGAAGATTGGGCGTGATGTTGGTGTCTCAAAAATGGGAAGCCCTGGATCTTGATGCTGAAAAGTAATCTACAAGTACTAGAAGAACAGGATAGATGATAGATATGATATATGTATATAGATTCATCTGAGATTGGGAAGAGAAAACAACGGAAAACTCTTCTTCTCACATCGCCCCGAACACCATGAGGTTCGGAGTCCAATAGCTCACGTAATCGATGCCCTGCAAGAGCAGCACTGCCAGGTGCATGGCCATCAACCCGCCATAGACGCAGCACTGCAGCCACGCCACCTGCGGCGCCAGCAGCACCAGAAGAGGTCCCAGCTCCAGCAGCACCGAAGTCCAACCCAAGAGATGCGCCACAGCAGGGCGCAGGAAAAGGAAGCGCTGTAGGGATGGAAAGTAGGGCTTCGCCCACATGGATTTCCATAAGAAACCATGCAGAGACCACCTCGATCGATCCACAAGGCTTCGTGAGTGCCCAAGTGGGATTAGAACAAACAATCATTTGTCCACTTGTGCCGCTTCCGGGTGAAGTACAAGTGTCCGGCGACCAAGGATTGTTCATGAGCCTTGGTTGTTTGGGTGATCACCTGTGTGATTGAACAAAAGAACCTGTGATCACCCAAGGTCATACCTGTCCAAAGCAGTGCAAAAGACGATTCCGATGGCTTGGGGAGCGTTGGGCACGCACGACTCACGTTCGGGCACCCCTCCCTCCTACCCCTGCGCCTGGCCCACGAGCGTCCACGGTAGGCAGAGCAGAAGCTCTTCTGGAGCACCGACATGGCATAAATGGTGCTGATGTGCGCCCGAAAGGCGGCCAGCGCCTGCGGCAGATCCGGCGCCAGCGTCAAGTACATCCACCTCGGTCAAGTGGGACTAGATTGTCGTTGAAGGTCTCGGGTCGTCTTGGTGAAGGAAAAGGGGGGAAACGACCATCGGGAACGGCCAGGTCCCATTTGTTCATTGGTTTGGGGGGGGAAGGATCCAGTTTACTTCTCTCTAGAAAAAACTCGGAAGGTTCAGTGTTTGAGGTTTCTTTCCGTCCGTCACAACTGTTTGATGTATGACTCGTACTTACAGCGTGGTATTGATAAACGAACAAAAGACATCCAGATCCGCCGGATCCAAGGAATAAATCTTTGCTCCCAGACGCTCCGTGAAAACAGCTCGACTGGTCCCGAACCAAACCGTAGGGATTGGTGAGAAGCTCCGGCCCCTACTGAACGGAGGGTCCAGGGTCGCAGCCATGGCAGTCCCACTCCGTTTCACCCACGACGCCGGCCGCCCACACGACGACCACGCCCAGGCACAGCGTCACTGAAAGAATGCCCCGGTGATGCGAGGAGGCGCGCTCAGCCCAGAGGCTACCGTGGTAGAAGATGCTCAAGATCAACCCCAACACCGGAACACATGGTACCATCCACAGCGGTGCCAGAAACCCTGAGAGTAAGACCACCCGGTAGAGCTGGGTGATGACCTCCAGTTCGTTCAACGACCAACGGGGTACCTCGATGAATCCGAAGACGGGATAGCCATAGGTCGCCAGGCCCCGGCGCCGTGCCTCTGACAGCTGGGACTGGTGGAACCAGGCGTAGAAGTCCCTCTGCCGAGGCCAATGCCAAGAGACGGCCACCAGCTGGGCTAGACACCAAAGACGGACAAAGAGCGAAGATCCCAGACCACCGTCATGGCCGTTGCTTAAGGGGAGGACTAACATGGACACACCAGATTGTGCAAGTCCAGTCCCTTTTGGCCCCTGCTTTTGAAACTGCAAAGGCTGAAAAAAGTGGTTGGTCAAAGGTCATGCTACTGAGTGCCACTCCGGAAAGCAACAAACATAGAACACCACAAAGTGGACACTGAAAGCCGATGCAAGTAAAAGCATAATTGTTCCACTGTCCACACAAGTATATAGTTTGTTTTCAACAAACTCGTCCAGTGAAAGACGATGTCCAACCCAACAAGAAAAACACAAACAAAAACTTTGATTGTTGCGTATGTCTTCGTCACGTGTGTCAGTCAGATTTCATGCTCAGCGAACAGCTTGGAATTTCACAAAATATGTCACATTCCTGGCAAGGAACTGAAAATGTTTTGGAAAACTGAAGATATGAAAAATGTGGACACCTAGGGGACAATGCATCCGGAAATGAACTCACCCACCTACACTGTTCATCTTCTGAAAGGCACGGACGGATTACTCGCGTGCGGATAAACGTCAAAAACTTCCCAAACACCCCCGACTTTTCCGTCACACTTATATAAGCCACATGCCACAATTGGTTCAAAAAATTTTGGGTTCTTAAAATGCGACACTGAGATCACTGTACCCATGATCCTTTCACGTGATCCATGGGCAATGGCATTCACACTTCCTAGCTTGCAGCTGCTTTTGCGTATGTCGTTGGTTGGGTGCATCGCATGAAATCCCCACCCTCCATTCCTGGTGTTGGTGCAATGTGAGGTGTTACTGTGTGGGTCTGTCACTGAGCCCATGCTTGTGCAGCTAACCCTGACCACTTGTTCAGTGAGGCCTCGACCTTTGTTAGGGACCGTTGCAGGGGTTACACTGCGTAAGGGAATCACTCCACGCCCAAACCTTCCCAACCTTATGCATAAGTCTGTGTGAACAGGTGGTGGATGTTAAATGACAGGTTTGTTGCTCAGGCAGTGCGAAAGTCGTTTGCACCCGGCCCAACCCAGATGGGTGCTGGTGAATGGCGAAGCCCTTTGCTATGCTTATTTTCCATCCCAAGTGCTAGACCGGGTGGATACCCAGACTACCAGTGCAGGGAGGCTCCCTGTCTGGCAGCTGTCTGATGCGGTCGCCAAAAGCCGCGCGTGTTTGGGGGAAGTGATAGGCCCGCCAAAGAAGAGGAGCCAATTGTCTTTAGGGTGTGCTGACAGGGTCACGTGCAGATTATTTAACGAAATTCCGCATTCAAAAAATCACGCCCGCCAGTGAGGGGCTGCTGGGGCCAAAAAAAGCGAGGAAGCCACCCCAATGGGTCCAAGAAATTCCAAGCACCTGTGGATTTAGCCACTTGCGCCACAGCCGGTTTCACTTGTGGATGTTGGAAAAACAGGAAGAAGATAAATTTGTACATTTCTAAAAACAAAATCTCTGAAGCCCCGTCAACAGAACGACTGAAGCCCGGTCCACCCCCAGCACCCACTCCCTGGGTTTTTCTCGTCCGCTCTGCCTCCAGTTAAATCTCCCAACAGCGTTCATCAAAGGCGCCCCTGACATTAAAACTGCCATCCAAGGCTGCTAGACTTAGCCGAGAGACCTTCTGGAACATCTCAGCTCTGTGACTTTGATGTATGAATCACAAAGCTTGCAGCCAAGTAGTGCATTTTGGACTGCATTTTGGACTGCATCTATGCATATCTATGCCATAAAAATGACATCTTACCCTCCGAGGTGACCTGTGACAAAGAGCCAATGGCGCCCTTTAAGGCCGAAACTCCAGGAATTCTGGACCCCCATCCACCCAAGAGGTTCCAATGCGACTGATACTCCGAGGAAATGCGTGGGGTTGGTTGGAGCCACTTTTCTGGGTGCGCAACTTCTTTCCATGAAGGACTTTGAGAAGCTTTGAGACAGCTGTTGGAGGCCTGGCATGGAATCAGCGTAGACTGTAGACTGAAACTTCAAAGTTTGAGCAGCCATTTCAAGCCAGGAGTGGTGACGACATGGCAGTCAGAAGGGCTTGAAATGTCTCTTGTATGGCTGGAGACTTCAGCCCATGTCAAGTTCAACGGATGCTCATCTGAATTCATGGAAAAGGAGCCGCTTCTGGAAATATCTGGTAGCTTAGGCTGAGGACACATGAAACATGAGTCACTCTGAAACAACGGAATTTCAGCCAAGGATCTTTTGACAACCACGCGCTGGACCCCTTGACCCATTGTCTTGTGCTGAAACGAAACGGCATCCATTACAAGTGTCCTCCGTTTCTGACAGGTCTAAAGCATGTTCACTTGTCGATTGGATTGCAGATTTTCACGGAAGTTGGTGGCCTGGTGGGCGACCAGCTTGTCCTTGAAGTGACCAGCTGCGAGGACATTCGATGGCTCACTCACGCACCTCCGCCTGGACTTGTGGACCCTTCGCTGGGTCCACTTAATCCAGCCAAAGAGATCCCAATGCGACTGATGCGAGAAAATGCGTGGCCGGGTTGGTTGGACTAAGATGCAAGCGGTGAAAAACAGCTTCGAAGGATTTGGAGATTCAAATCTGACGAGAGTGACGATCTGCTGCATGGAACCCCCGAGGCACATGCCTAGGGCGCTTTTTGATGCACCAAATTCTGGACTTGAACGTCCAGTGCGATGGAGGGGGAATCTGTCGACTGGCTTGGATTGTACAATGGTGTCGACCAATGAGGCATCTGAGAGCAAAACACCTGTTTTGGGAAAGGGCCAAAAGCCTAGGCCTAAACCACTTTCCGCTTCAACATGGTGACACCGCAGAATCTTTGCTTGATGAACCGTGGCCAGATTTAGACGACGTCACTAGGAGCAGAAACAGAACTCGGTTTGTTTGCTTGGTAGCTCAAGGCAGGTTGCGACAGCTCTTCGGTTGTCCTCCACAGTGGAGATTAAGCTATGCTGAGTCTGTCCTCCACGGCAATAGTAATTGAAGGCTAAATGGAGGGTGTGTGGAGAAAGGGGGTCAGCAAAAATCGCTTGTACGAAGTTAGTGCATCAAAAATACCTTCCACGAAGCTCTGCGAAGGTTTCTGGGATTTCGTTGCAGTCAGTTCTGCTACTGGCCCACCATTCCACGAACTGTCCTTGAATAGCCTTGGGTTCTACGAATGTCCCGCGCCTTCCACGATGTTAGTAGAATAGGTTTTTGCAAAACCCTTTCTGTGCACTACCCTTCCGTTTGCCTCTGAGTAATGCAGTGGACTGAGGTCCAGTAGAAAGAACTCGATGCTATGCTTGAATCATCTTGAACCATCTTGTGCTCCAAATCGCAAAGTTCATGGGACAGTTCCAAAGGTCGTGTTGGCCAGCGATGACTTTTTGCCGGCTCTTGAGCTGAGAATGATTCTATCCTCCAAACTGAGATGCACCTAGAGAAGAAACAAGAAGAATAAGAAGAAATACGCCGAATACACTCAATCGACAAAGTTTTGCTGGTGCGCTCTGCCATTGTTGCAGGAACAGGCTGAGAAAAAGATGAGCGTCCTACCCCGTCGCAAGATTTAAAACGCTGACCTTCTGTGGAAGCCCTTGGATGCCCCTGCGGAATCCTTCTCCCCTTTTGTGTCGTATAATTTGTGTTTTGCTCCACTGAAACTGCCTGGAGACTTCTGCAAGCTGCTGCTCAGAAACTCCTGACTCAAATCAGAAAGGCAAATACAACAACGAAATGCTACGAGCGCGCATTTGCAGGGACATCACGCGCCCACGTTAAGGGAGATCGAGGTGCGCAAATCGCATGCTCCCGAGATTACATGGACCCTGCTATGAGAATCAAGCTTTTGCATCTGCGATGTGTTTCTAGCTAGATTTGGCGCTTCACAACGTGGGCTTCCAAGTTGCAGCAAAAGCAGGAGTCGTGAGTCATTTCTGATGCACTGGGCGCGGATACTGTACCCTTTTTGTCGCTTCCAAAGGGAATGGTTCAAGAGAACACCTTGCAAACCAAGTGTTCTTGGAGGTCTGCTATTTTAGACCCACCCACAAATCCAGGAATCCCGTGGCAATCAACCAAAAGGCACAACCTTTGGGGTTAGTGCTAAATGCCAAGAAAAAGGCCCAAAATCTTTCACAGTCATGTACACTCTGCGACTAATTGATATGCTGACGGGCCGAAATGAAGGGTGCATGCCCCAGCTTGGCACGAAGGCGCGCACTCTCAGTGGAGCTACTGTACCTATATGCAGCTTGGCACGAAGGCGCACGCTCCCAGTCGAGCTAACAATGCAACAAGCAGGGGCTAAGGTTGGAAATTGGAACTCAGTCAAAGTCGCTTGTTGTTTTTCTGGTGTTGTGGCTAACAAGCATCGACACACCAAAACCACGAGCTTCGATCAAACCCCCGCCGATTCATATAACTCTCTTGGAAGATCTGCAAGACGTCGCTAGGATTGTGGATGCATTTGCTGAGTCGCCCTTCGACCGGACCCACCAAAGTAAAATGGCCATGACTTCAAATAGCGACTGCCTGTACTAGTTCGGTCTTTTTCTTCGGGAGCCTGAGCTCAGAAGGAAGGCGCACACTCCCAGTCGAGCTACGGTAACAATGCAACAAGCAGCGGCTAAGGTTGGAAATAAGTCGCTTGTTGTCTCCTGGTGTTGTGGCTAGCGATGAATGCAAGACCTCTGCAAAAGGATCATGAGATAGGAGTTGTGGAACCTCCAGACGGAAAACAAAAAAAGGACGTGGCCACAGTGGTCCCTTCAGTGACTGTGTGACCGCGCTTCAGAATTTGAATTCGCTGTTTCTTTTCCTCCCACCCTTCCATCTATGAGGTTGGAGGCCATCGCTAGTAGGTTGGAGGCCAGTGCTATCAGGTTGGAGGCCGTCGCTAGTAGGTTGGAGGCCAGTGCTATTAGGTTGGAGGCCATCACTTCTAGGTTGGAGGCCGTCGCTATTCGGTTGGAGGCCAACTACGCCCAAAAAGGAGGTATGCTCAGCTATGCTCTGCTTCACCGGCAAAGTACCCGATTTTGTAAGCATCGGCATGATGAGATAGGATTTGTGCACTCAGAGAAAAACTGGTTTGCGCCACATGAAATAGGATTTCTGTTTTTGGCATACGCAAAGAGGCAAACGTACAAGGGGCCCAAAAGAATATCGCCAGTGATAGAGTATTGGCCGATTGGCCATCCAGGATTCTGAGGACTATCTCGATATACCTTTTGAGGCCAGAACAAGCCTGGAAAAGTACATCGGGCATCCCCACTCGCTCGAAGACTCCTATCTCATTTCCTCTCAGTATAACTCTCTTGGAAGACCTGCAAGACGTCACTAGGATTGTGGATGCATTTACCGAGC